ACAGCCAACTATGCAGTCACCAAGCCCAGTGCAAGACGTCAGCTACAAACTACATCCAACCAGCAGTTGGGGGTATCATTTCCTTCGGTCTCTCGATCTCCCTCCTTCTCCCTCCCTACACACCCACTCCTAAAATCCAGCAAAAATATCATCGAACTCATCTCCCTTCTTTTTTTTCTTCTTCTTCTCCACCACTCCACTCCCACCAACCCTCTTCCTTGGTTTCTCACCTCCCAACCCGCCAAAGATATCATCAAACTCATCCCCTCTCTTCTTCTTCTTCTTCTTCGGCTTATCCTCCCCCAAATCACCAAAAATATCATCAAACTCGTCTCCTGCCGCTTTCTTCTTCTTGTTCTTGGGGGGTGTCTCCTCACTTAGGCCACCAAAGATGTCGTCGAACTCATCGTCTGGCTTCTTCTTTTTGCTGGCTGGTTTTGATGGTTGGGATGTGTTATCGCTGTCGTTGTTGGGGCAGTTAACCTCGTTGGATGGTGTATCTCTCTTTTCGGCTGCTTTTTTCTTGGCGGATTTCTGGTTCTCAAAAGAGCCAAAAATATCATCGAATTCATCCCCACCAGCAACCCTCTTTTTCTTTTTCTTTTTCACCACCCCCCCTTCCTCACCCACTCCTCTCATCACCACCTTCCTCTTTTGTACCGTATCAACATCCCCTTCCACACTCTGCAGTACCTCCTCCCTCTGAACCTTTACCCCCAAATCCTCCCGCTGAATCACATCCCCTATATCCACCTCCCCCTCCCCATATTCTACCCCCTCATTTTCCCCCTCCACCCCCTCCATCCCCTCCATCTCCCCATCCATATCATGCACCAACCCCCCAAGCACCATACTCACCCCCCCCAAAACCCCCACCAACCCCAACCCAACCTGCGCAAACTGCCTATCCCCCACCAGCCTCCCAAACCCCACCCACCCCTTCACCACAACCCCCTCCTTCATGAACCTCACCCGTTTCAGCACCCTCTCCACCCCCTCCTCCCACTTCCTCGTTTTCTCCCCCTTCCCTTTGCCTTTCCCCTTTGCCAACTGGCCTGACGATGGTGGTGAAGGGGCATAATCAAGACAGTCCTCGATTTCGAAGATCAGTTTCCCCGTGTTCCTCCTCAAAATATCAAACGCCGACCACCACTTCGACGAAAAATGCTGGTTCTTGTTGCGGTGGTGCAGCCGCTGGAGGATTTCCCTCAGCGGATAGAGACGTTCGAGTGATGACTCCAATAAGGGGGGGTCGATTATCGCTGTTGGTTCCGCCATTGTGAAATGGTTCTGGGGGTGATGGGAAGTTGTGAATTCTTTTCCCAAGATTTAAAGAGAGAGTTCAGTTGAATAGTTGGAACTGGTGGGTGGTGAGATTTTGCGGGGGGAGAAATGGTGGTGCAAGGGCTGAGGTTGTTCCAAAAGCGTGTAGGTCAAGTTAGCGTTGAAAGAAACCTAATGAATGAACCTTGATGGCTTTTGATGGTGAAAGTGATAACTGAAGGTCCAAGCTCCCCGAGATAAGCTGGGTTAGGGTTAGCGCTGTCAACACAACATCACCGGAGATAAGCTGGGTTAGGGTTATCTTATCTCACTCGCACATCACCGGAGATAAGCCTCACACCTTGCAACACCCATCTTCGTTATTTGAATAGTCCAAACCAATATCCCTATGCATATTCCCTAAATTACCATTCCCCCAATTCCCGAATCATAACGCCATGCAAAGTATATACATCCCCCCCTTCTCATCTTGTCAACAAACCTTGACCCCACAAACCTCCACCCCCTTCGTCACCACCGCCGCCCTCTTCCCCTCAAAATACCTCCCCACCACCTCCCTCACAAACTCAGCATCACCCAGACTCCACACATCCAACCCCATCTGCGCAAGCGCATCGCTATCCACCCTCACCCACCCCCCTCCCCTCCCTTCGTACCCCTCTTCCTGATAATCATCACTCTCACCCCCAAGCAACCGTCCCCTCTCATCCGGGGGGTCCCCTAACCTTCCGCCACCCCCACCCCCAGGCGTCTCCCCATAATCCAAATCCAGACTCATCAGATCATCATCATCCCCCGAATCCACAATCTCGGCCAACACCCTCAAAATCCCCGTCGTCAACCTGTGGAAATACGCAATAATCGCCAGCTCCACCCCCGCCTTCTCATCATCCTCCTCCGCGTCCTCCCCCGGTTTTCTTGCTGTCAAGGACGACAAACTATCAATCATTGTCCCCGAAACCGCCGTCCCAAAACTCGGCCTCCGTTGCGGCACAGCAGTCATGGAAGGCGACATGGGCGGTCCCAAATCAGCAAGCAGACTGGCGTCGTGGCTTTGCTCGTCGATTTCATCAGAGTGTCTTTTTTCACCGGCCGAAGCCCACCACATGAAGCCGTTGTAGGCCAACGCAGCCCAGGTGGTTGGTTCGACGATTTGGTCGGCGTCTTCGTCGGATATGATCATTGCTTGGCGGGGGTAGTTGCCACTTGATGTCCCTGGTCTCGAGGAGGAGGAGGTAGCTGCGGGTTTGGATAGGCGGATGGCTGGCGTGGAGGGGGTGGGTGCTTCGTCTGGGGTTTGCACCTCTGGTTGGGGTTGTGACCCAGAGTGAGAGGCTTCTGCTGCAGCGGCGAGGTGCGCCAGGCCTGCTCGGAGAGTGCGGAAACGGCGGAGGTCGCGCTGGGTGGCCTTTACCGGGACGCCCTTGGGGCATTCGATTGTTGGCCATGCCCTTTCCTTGGCGTTGCTCGAGTAGACTGGGGGCAGGGTGATCAGCATGTCCCAGAGATCCCCCTTCATAGCGAGAATGCTGTCTGTGGTGCAGGCTACCCAGCCCGAGGTAGAGTCCTCGGACGGATCAGAATGCTGATCGTCTTGATTAGGGCGCTTTTTCATGGCGGCCTGGTGTTCCATAAGATACGAGATATCATGCACACCGATGGTAAAAAGAGGTCGTAAACGCTGTACAGGTGCTGATGGGTCTATCACGTCGCAGACGGACAGGGGAATATTGGACAAGACAGAAATATCATACACTAAGATTCGTCAGCAGCTATCAAATACCAAGGAGTGTCCGGTAAACATACCAAAATTGCAAACTTCATGCACCGGTGCATGGCAAGAAATCAAAATGCGCTTGCGCAACAGGGCGGCGCGATGAACCGGAAAGATCAGCGGCCCAAACGTATCCAGCAACGACGTCAAACTCCACGCCGGATGATAAGGCGACAGCCTGTGTCCGGGAGGTATCAAGGCGGTGCCATCCGAAGCAGACCTATTCCTAGCATGGCCTCTCCCCAGCGGCGGACGGACAGCCCTAAAGCTAAGCGCGGGGGAGGCCAGAGGTTCATCCTTCAATGGCTGCGGCGCCGACGTCTCGCGCGCGCCGTTTCTCTCCCAGTACTCCTCCAGTATTTGCGTCTGCTTGCGATCCTGAACCAGCTTGCTGGCCATCTCCTTCAAGCCCTCGGCATGGCGCCATGCCCTCCCCAGACGGCCATAGCTTAGCGGCACCAAGACACCCACAGCAATCATGCGCGCATGACGTGTTTCCTCCTCATCGGTGGGGGTGTTGATAAACGCGCTGAGCCCGGCGTGGCTGGCATCGTGGACAAAGTAGATGAGGTCGTCGGTGACGGTGTGCAAGCCCGACGGCAAGCTCTTGTACTCGACAGCGCCCTCGAGCTCGAGACCGGGAACGGCCCGTTTCCAGACGATGGTGTAGCCGGCCTTGACGTCGAAATCGATCAAAAAAAGAGCAGAGACGGGAGGGAGATCGGGTAGAGCGACCGAGGCGCCGGGCTGCGGCAGCCGTACGGATAGGTTCGGGTGTCCGCGACGGGATTCGGCCATTGTGACTTTGGGGATGTCTCGATGGTGAGGATAGCTGGGATGGGACTTCGATTGTCCGAGACAGACATGCGCTTGGGGTGAATTGGAGGGGCTATCGCTGGACCGGAAGCATCATTGGCGCCCAGGGGCGACCGGAGGCTGTTGATGCAAGAGGCTCGAACCTATGCTGCTGTGTAGCTGGTGAAGTAGGCGGGAAGCTGCTGTGTTGCTGCGGCCATCCGGAATGTTTTGGTGAGCTTTGTTGGTGTTCAGTGGACGTCGAATCAAGCAGTTGGATGAACCATGGCTAATGCGCTAGGCTCCCTTGGCCTAGGCCATAATTAGTGGGGCTTCTAGAACAGCAGGGGGCGCTACGACCACATCTTGTTTTCATTCATTGTAGAGTCTCCCGAGACATGAACACGTACCTGTACAGTGTGTATTGTGTTTCCATATTAGGTATTGAAAGAGATTGACCTTCGAACTATTCTCAAGACCAAAAACTAACCTTGGTAAATATTTGTATTGTGTAAAGGCAAGTCTCGGAGCCTCGTCCGTGCTGATCTGAGCCTTGTTGTGTTCACAAGGATGATTATATGATCTTGGCTGAGGCTAACAAAAAGCCAACCATGAACTTCATGATGACAGGGCGCTTAAGAACACCACATTGGGGCTGTATTATTCGAAGTTGGCTTCAGGCAGGCCTTGGCCAAGCTCAATGTGTCATCATTAACATCGTACCCGAACCCAGAGCCTCGCCCATACCCATGTATATGGGTGTAAGAACACCAGGAAGGAGTATCACCGTCATGGCTGAGTAACGCCCACTAGACCTCTACAGAAGCCCTAACTTGCCTGCCTGCTTCCAGTGTGCGTATGAACAAGACCAGCCGAGGAAATGTGATATTTATAAGCGCGTGGCTGCAGACGGCCACTAACTGGTTGGATCACCGCGATTCATCCTGAAAGCCACCCACAGTTTGCACAACTAGCGCTGAGAGGCTGAAACACCCATGATGGAATCCCGCGAGAACCTCGCCATAATGTTGGCCCCGTCTTGCCCTCAGTCAGGTATATAGCTTGAGGGAACAAAGTAACTCCAGTTTCCGTTCTGTCAAGCTAGCCAGCCTCTTGTCACTACAGTCATCAGCAAATCATCAACATCATGAACCGCACAATGGGTGGACTCTCCGCACCGTCTCGGTGTATCCTTTTCCTCCTCTTCATATACTTCGAACCCATCGCAGCGTGGAGAGGCACCAACACGAACCAGTTTCGCGAATGGTACCCTCAACATGGCCACATATTCGAAGCTCTTAAGCAGAAGTACTGCATGACCCAATACCGACAATACCTTACTGGCAACACATCTGCCGTCGAACGTGACATTCTCGGTGGGGGTGGAGCCAACAGTGTGTTGACACAGCCTGTCATCCAATGTATCTTGAACAACACGAGCGAGTATGTCAAAAATGGCATGACAGCAGCCCAGGTTCTCCTCGGCGTCATGCCCACCGTCCTCGCCGTGATGGGTCCTTCGACCGAGGAAATGAGCATGCTCGCGAATGTAGCACGGCGACCTCTCCTCGCACTCATGCTTGCCGCCGGATCGCCCAGCGTGTACTTCAGCCGGGCCTTTGAATACCATGATCCCGCCCAGATCCTCCACGACCACCCGAGCAGACTCCCACAGTGGCGCCCAAGCATGTGGTACTACAAGCTGTCCATCTCCATGGCCGAATACATCATCGCCCTGGCTGCCATAGCCAACATTGCTACTCTCAACTGGGAGCTCGGCGTCAAGGCCACATGCACCCTGTGGACGAATCGCACCTTCGGGCCAACGATATGGGCACTGCTAGGCCTGGTCGTACACATTTTCGGAACCATAGGTCTGCGGCTCCGCGTCTGCGGCTGGCGAGGTCCAAAGAAAGAGGTTCTCGAGGCAGTCAAGAGAAAGAAAGAGGCAGTCAAGAGAAAGGAAGAGGCAGCCAAGAGAAAGGAAGAGTCGGCCTTTCATATTCGAGAGAGGCTCGCGCCGGCAGGCGGATGGATTTCGAGCATTCCCAGGCGCTTGCTCGGCCTTCTCAAGACAGAGCCCATACCGAGTGCCTCGGAAGGCTATGACGTGCGCATCGTCACCTTCCAAGAGAGCAAGCTCTTCTTGGTCGCGGCCTGGGTTGGATCCATGGCCACCGTCCTTCATATCATCTTCGGGACCCTGATCTTTTCAAGCACCATCTTCGTGGGCGTGGAGGATGCGCTATCCATCGTGGGACGGTACATGGCTAGTGTTTCCATCTGTCGAATTATCCTCATGTATGAGCTGGCTGGACTTCGAGAGTCGGTTGAATCCATCCTCCTTCTGTCCAGACGGGACACAAAGGTCCGGGAGGTGTCAACACAGACAACAACCCTTTCCCATGATTTCGGCGATGACCAGATGATCAAACGGCAGGTACGCGCAACGGTGGTGTCGTCGCAGGTTTAGCGATGTTGGATGATCATATGGTGGGAATTATCACATGCTTTCTTTTCTCCAACTTAAACAATTTTTTGTATCTCCGTTCCCGTCCCCGCACGATCCCAACAAAAGATACTTGGGGGGGGGTAGGTGAAACGACACTGTGGCCATGAGATGAGACTTGTAGCAATTCAGTGATGAGGAGAGGATAGAAACACCAGATACTATTCAGCAACACATGCACATGTTGGATGATGTTTGTTTGTGCCCAACTAACCGACAGATGATGCGGCGAGACCCGAGTTTTTTAAGTGAAGCTTGACTTCTCAGTCTTGTCACGATATCCCCGCGATTGCCAAGTTTTCTGGTCACAAGGGTTGCAAGGGGCTGCAAGGGTTGCTGGCACCTGCCCCACGTCCCGCAAATTTTAGCCTCAACGATTCCTCAACCTCGGACACCCCACACTCTCACAGTGCATTCTGGCTTTGATTTGATTGGGCTGCAACTTCGAGTGCCGGCCCGGGCCATGAAGAACGAAAGTCAATAACCAAGACCTTTTTGGTGCCACGGAGCCCATGATTGCTTGTTTCTTAGTATTCCATATCCTTAATCACCAACAAACCGTCCATCGTTTGGCTTAGAAACCCCTCGACGCACAACGACACCACCTGGACTGGGATCGCCTGTCTCTCCAGCATCCACTAGCCCTGTAGCATCCCCATCCAGACGCCACATCGCCAGTCCCCGTCCTCCCCAAAAACTTTCCGGCCACCCGCCGCTTGAGCACCGGTCCGGCAAGCCCATTCATCATCACAGGATCCAAGCCGAAAAACGACTCAAAGCCTTGCGACTGCGCATCCCCCCGTGTCGGCCTTCCGAGTCCCCTCCTCCCCCTCGCCGTCCTTCGGGCTCAACCCCGCCCCTCCTTCGTCGTTCCTTCTCAACACCAGCTATGGCGGCAATTATAACATACACCGGCTACTTCTTCGCCTACTACGCCGCCCTCATCATGTTCTTCCACCTCCTCGGTCTAGTCAACTCCAAAGCCGCCTTCGGGGCGCGCTCACTGGCCATGTACATCTCGATCCTCATCGCCTCAGCATACGGACTCGGCGCTGCTGTCTTTCTCTCCTTGATAGGCAAGCGCGGTCTCTCACAATGGGCGGTTGGGCGGTGCTTCAAGCTGTGCATGTTGCTCGGCACAGGCGTCAAGTTTGACATTGAAGACCCAAAGAACCACCTCGGCACCGTCCGTCCCGCCGTTTTCATCGGTCCCCACCAGACCGAAGTCGACCTCTTGATGCTGGGCACCATGTTCCCACAGTACTGCAGCGTCACGGCCAAGACTCAGCTCAAGAAGATCCCATTCTTGGGCTGGTTCATGACCCTGAGCGGCGCCGTCTTCATCGACCGCAAAAACTCCAAGGATGCGCGACAGGCGATGCAGGGAGCCGGCGAGCAGATCACCAAGAGGAAGCAGAGCGTGTACATGTTCCCCGAGGGGACCCGGAGCTACACCAAGGAGCCCACCATGCTCCCCTTCAAGAAGGGCGCCTTCCACTTGGCTGTCCAGGCGCAGGTGCCTATTGTTCCAGTGGTTGTGGCCAACTACAGCCATGTGTATTCCCTCAAGGACATGGTTTTCAAGTCGGGGAGCGTGCCGTGCAAGGGTATGTTTTGTTTCATTTTCCTCTTGAATTTTTCACCGCAACAGGCTGACACAACCACAGTCCTCGATCCCATCCCCACAGCCGGTCTCACCACAGCCGACGTCGACGAACTCGCCCGCGAAACCCGTGAGGTCATGCTCAGGGAGATGATTGCCCTGACGGAAAAGGCCCGCGGGAAGACGGTTCCTCTGACGGTCCCCGCCAAGCAACAAAACGGCGTCGTCAAGGTCAGCGGGACAGACATGCGCGTTGCTGCGTAAAAAACCTCCTCTCCTCAAATGAGAGGGTTGATTACAAAAACAAAACCTGCCATGCCAAGCGGGCGGGTCTGTGATGTCTAAACGGCACAACGAGGCGACTGACAAGCAAACCGAACGACGATACTACTACTACGCCGTGCCAGGTGTATGTGTTGTGTGTGTGTGTATGTTTGAAAGGAAAGGACCGGGAAAAGGGCATTTTGATACCCCATCTAATAGAAAGAGGATGGATGGATGGGATGGATGGGATGGATGGGATGGATGGGTGGGTGGAGTGGGGGGCAAGAAAGGGAAAGCGTAAGTGGAAAGGGGGGAAAGCGAAAGCGAAGCAAGCGTGTATTTTACCAACAGGCGTTTTGGAAAGAAATGGGGGATCTCTTTTTTTGTTTTTGTTTTTTGAAAGGGTAGATGTGGGGGGGGGGGGGTGACTAGGTAATTAATCTAGAAGGGAGATAGATATCTAGGATGGGTGGTGGGTGGTGGGTGGTGGTTGGTTGTATGATTTGTTTGATGTTGGGGGTTAGAATGAATGGGAAATGAAATGGCCATGTCCATTTGAGACTTGTGTGTGTGTGTATCATACAAAGAGACAACAACAACAACAACAACAACAACAACAATGGCACTCTTGTTCCCCCCTGACTGGTGTACACACCACACCTTTCTTGATAGGACAAACTTGGGAACAACAACCGCGCAGAAGGCGATGTGTTGATTTCCAGGTAGGTAGGTAAACTTACATGCATCCATCCCTTTTTCATGTTTTGTTTGGAGGGAAAAATTCTTGATAGATTCAGCACATAAGGTAGTAAAAAAAAGACCCCTGACCGAGCATACATACTGACAGCAAACCAAAGGGGTTCCTTGACTTTAGACAGAGAGAGAGAGAGAGTGTGTGTGTGTGTGTCGAGGTTGTCAGAGTGTGCCTTGGTTGGAAACGTCAGAACAGCAGCAGAAAGTGTTGGAAGATGGTTGTCCAAGGTAGGTCACAAACAGGGCTCAGGGGTAAATTCACACCACCCCCCTACCCGAGGCCCCATGCTCATTCAAGTCACCCAAATCACAATTCACCATGATCCTTTCAAAGAAAACCCTTTCAGTTCAATACACCCCCCACCCCCCC